TGTAGGGAAGAACAGAAAAGAATTAGACCCAAACCGAAACCCGAAATGGTTGCCATGGATAGAGAGATTCAGAAGAGTGAAAGTGTCATTGGGGGATATGTTATTACTTACAGGAGGGGGTTTACTAGGAGCTGCACCATGCTTGGCATGAGTCTCGTTGGCTTTACCAGGTGATTCGGGTTTGCCACCGGTCTTCTTTTCATCCCTAGCCTTGTTAAATATCACGGTGAAACCCTCAGCTGAAGCTGGATCATTGACATCCCACTCACCGAATTTCGGCAAGGGGCGACCTTTGTCCTGCAAAAGGAACAGAATCCGAAAGACGTGAGCAGCCAAAGGAACGCAGAGTGAAACCTTTGTAAATTTCAAGGAAACTATGAGAACCACGTCAATTCGAAGTCTAGTCAACAGAGGGTGGTTTTGCCCTTTCTAACATCGGTCTCAAGCCGTGAAAAAGAAGGGCCATGCTAAACAGATCACAACACAGGCAGGGACTATTTGAATTAGGATCTTTCATTATCATCATCATTCTCTCACATGGAGGAAAAGGCTAAGCTTTGTTTTGGAAAATGTCAATCTATGTAGTATGTACGAAAGACCACGCAATGGGAAAACGACAGGGTAACAAGGAGAGTTGACACAACACAAGATTAAACAGACAGCACCCAAGGTCGAGGAGAACTTTTGTGCCCTTTGGTAGAAAGTTTTCCACAAAATTTCTCGAATCATATACAAGTCAAAAGGTTTAATATCCATCGTTATGTAAAAGTCCCCATCAATGCTATCTTTATAGATATCGAAAATGAAGTTTTGCAGTGGCGATTCAAAATAGGCAGACAGAGACAACAAATTTCCCCATTTCTAACAAAATCATGTCTCTTCAATCCCAATTGAAATCGAATCGTAGGAAACGAAGCAAAGCCCATACATTGCCTTCCCCAAATTTTAGATATGATCCAATTTCAATTCTATCCTTGTTTCCTCGAAAATCTAACTAAATCAGAACCCTAAACTTACAGCAACACTATTCTTCTTCTACCTCTATGGCCCATAACAACACCAATACTGAGAGCCATATCACGCACCGATAACAGCAACCTTCATACTCACATAGGGCTCATCGACGACTAAAATGGAAGATCGGATTCACACAGTGAGAAAAAAAAAAGCTGAGATCCAGGAAAGCAAACATCAGCAAGAGATATTGCTTATCATCAGGATGAAAGTATATATCCGATTCTTTATCCTCCTCATCTCGAATATCGAAGACTGCGACAAAAATCGATGGCAGTAAAAATAATCCGATCGTAATCAACATAGCATCTATTCACCAGACGAATAAATCGAATTCGAGGATGAAAAAAACAGCTCCATAACACCAACAACAGAAAACAGATAAGGATTCGACATACCGACATGGCGTCTGCGGGAGGAATACTGGTCAGATAATAGGGAACAACTGCGATAGGAGAAGAAACCGCCCAGAAAACGAGGGAAAGTGAGAGAAAATTTCTTTGCCGAGAGAAGAACGAAGAGAATCTGGGCTAAAAAGATGAAGAGAATTTTCTCCCTTTTTTCTTTTCTTCTCTCTCTCTCTTCGGTGCAGTGTCCGGAACGGTAAATATAACGGCGTTAGTGCAACATCAGCAGTGACGTGGCTAAGGGTGCGTTAGTAACCAAACGGAAAGATGAGCTGGCAAACGACGTGACTCGCTGGCACTGTTTTATTGTGTTACAGCAGTTAAACTGTGCGACTGTGTGAAAATCTCTCTTTGTGGATAATAAGATAATTAGATTATTTTGCAAGAATTTTATAATTATTTGCTAATCTCATCTCTTATTAGTGGATAATTAAGACCTTAACTTTTCAATAAATAAAAGAAGAAAAGAGTCGAATGGCATTCTTAGCTTTTAATTTTGACTAAAGGTAAACCGATGTTGACAGATGAAAATTTTAATTCATCATCATCATCAAATTTCAAGTCGCGTTTTCTAATGTAACAAAATATAGCGTGAACCGATTTAGAGACGTTACAAATAGTATTAATGATGATTTTAGTATATTTTTAACTTAAACGTAAGTTTTTTGAATTTCTTTTCTTTGGGCACACAGATGTATAACGGAACAGAAAAGAAATAGAATTCTGTATTAAAATATAACTAAAGATTTAAATGATATATTTTATGAACAAAATTGCAGAACAAGCAGCACATTGCATATAATCCCTCCTTCCAAATCACTCTGACATAAATATATATATATGTATGCAAATTCACGTTAATTTCAAGAAAGATATGCAAGAATTCTCCATATATACACACACACACACATATATATATATATATATACATAATATAATATAAATATATAAAGGCTCACGCGTGGGAACTGCAAAGATGGAACAGAACCAATTGTGCAACTGAGGAACTGCTAGATTCTGTCTCCCACGAACGTTGGAACTTCTACGCCGATAGATCAGACACATCCCGAACAGGCCAGTTATCGTGTCTCTTCCCGACACAAAGATTCCAAACACAGGATCTCGCCAGAGCACTGCAACTCCCCTTTTTCCCGGAAAACTATCCAACTTTTCCCGGAAAACGCATTCTTGAATAAGCAAAGTCCTGATTATTATACGCAGCTGGATAATTCTAGTCAGGAATTTGCGAAAACGGCCGAGTTCCTGAGAAGGCAATGATGGAAACTGCGAGAAATATGATCCGAAAGAACGTTTTGGCAGATGAAAACATTACAGTTCTGCGGCATGACAGCTTCGTGGGGGGAGAAGATCAACATGGTTACAGCTACCAAGACTGTTGGCTGTGAATCTGAACAAAATCCGGTATAAAAAAACCGATTGAGTATAGTTTTTCCAAAAAAAAATCCGAAATATTCACCTACTTTTAGTTTAGATTAAATTCATAAGTACCCTGATATCATTACTCGTTGGTAATGATGCATATGGGATGAAGGGTGAGAATAAAAGAGAAAACACAAATAGCCTGACCGGTTAGTTAGCCTCGCTATTTATATCTTTTGCTGCAATAACAACATCCTTGTACCTGTTTTATGCGGCGCCTTCTATTGGACCAACTAGCTTTCATTTTCCACCTAAATTCTTTGCCCTCAATTCAATTTTCATGCGCTTCGCATATATAAAACTTGAGGCTCATCAGGATTATTCCTTTTAAAAGATAGCTTACTTACCCGTTAAGGGCAATGCCAATCGTCCATTTTGTCTTGTTTCTCTTCCACGCGGCACTTGTCTCTGTTTCTGCCGCTGCATCCATGGTTCCAAAGCTGCGAATTTTGGAAGCAATAGAATGGTCAGTAGCGACCCTTTTTGAACTTCTCTACATTGCTTATAAAACCCAGTTTTACTTACAAGGAAATGGTTAAGTTGCGAATTAAACAGGAGCTCGGGAAGACAGTTGCTGGAGACATCATCGTGCAAAGCGGGAAACCCTATCGATGATTGCTGGAGATGTGACGAGAGTTGGGAGACTAACCGGAAGAAGTTGGCCTCCTGTGCGGTCGGCTTTGGACGGAATGCCATTGGTGGACGAGACGGTGAGATCTATGTGGTTGTTGATTCCAGTGATGACCCGTTCAATCCTGCACCGGGAACACTGCGGTATGCTGTAATACAAGAGAAGCCTCTGTGGATCATCTTCAACCGTGACATGGTCATAAAGTTGAAAGAAGATCTCCAACTCACTTCCTACAAAACCATAGATGGGAGAGGACATAACGTGCAGATAGCGTATGGGCCATGCATAATGATATATAAGGTGAGTAACATCATCATAAGCAACATCTACATACATCATTGTTTACCAGCAAGGCAATATAGACTGGGGGGTTACTCCGATGGGGATGGAATCTCGATTTTCCAGTCCCGTGATATCTGGATCGATCATTGTACTCTTGAGAAGTGCTATGATGGACTCATAGATGCTGTGAATGGATCCACGGCCATAACAATCTCGAACAACTACATGCTGAACCATAATGAGGTCATGCTTCTGGGTCACAGCGATGAGTTTTCCGCTGACAGGATTATGCAAGTCACGATCGCTTTCAACTACTTTGGCGAAGGCCTGATT